CACTTATCTTCACAAAACTTATGAAGTTTCATTTTTTTTCTGCAACTTCAACATCAATATACCTAAAGGAGAGCAATAATTGTTCTGAGGTACTCACATCCAAAGTTTCACCTGCCATCTGTTGTTGCTGTGCCTTCAAGTTATTTCCGACTAACAGAGTCTGTAAGGCAATGCTATCACAGGGTTTCCTGGAGTTGACTTACTCAAGGTTGCCCAGTGGGTTTCCAGGGATGAGAAGAGACTCAAACCCTGGTCTCTGGAGTTGTAGTCAAAAATAAAATGATTTCATATAAAACAGAATGTGTTGTGGAGCAGAGTGAGTCCCACTCAGCCACAAAATAGCCATGGTGACCCAGGTGCTACTACCTATGAGGCACTGTCCCCCCATTAATAGACATTTTGGAGTAGCTTATCTAGGAACCTCCCTTGTTGGGGTGGGGGAATTTTCCTGCACAGGAAATTGTGTCAATTCTGCAGGCTGGAACAAATGGAAATACTTAAGTTCTGTATGTTTTTGATGTCGATATTTTACCTGTTTCTGGAAAACCAATCCTTCTACCAGCAACGACAGATTGCTGCACAGTTTTGTATGTCCCCATACCTCAAAAGTAGCTTTGGTGTGTCTGGGGAATATGCCATGGCCATGAAAAGCCATGATTGTGCTTTTTTGGCATGACAGTGGTTTGGACTGGATGGGCCATGTGGTTTCTTCTGATTCTATGATTCTATGAATTGGCTAAATATGAGAGATAAGACAACTAGGCATCAACCAGCTGCAGCTTAAGGAATGCAGCTAAAATCATTATCCCAGATCTTCAGTGACACCTTGGAGATCTGGAAGAGTGATGTCAGCTTTATTCTCCCAGCTATAGAACCCTAGTTAGTGCTAGGTGCTTCTTTGGTCCTCCTCCCTACATCAAATCTGGCCAGTAAACAGTACTACAGTTAGAAAAAAGCCTTTTCTGCACTATCAAAAAACAATATATACACCTTTAATGTCAGGTTACATGTTAGAATGTTACCAAAAGAACCAGAAGCGACTTGTTGCTCCTGACACAATAAAAAAAACCCCAAAAGAATTGATATTGGCAAATGTGTTTAAATGCACTGCTCCAAAATGCCTATGCTGTGTGCACACCATTTTCATCCTGGAAAATGGAGACTTCTTATATCAGCTGTCACAGCTCCTCAAACAACGTTCATTATTTCAAAGACAGGATGCTGGGGAAGTAAGAAGTATCTGATACCAAAGCATTCTGGGTCAAGAAAGCCATGAATCAGTTTCCAGGGAGCCAAGATAGTCGAGTCCTTAAACTGTTAAGAAAACATAAATCAGAGTCCTATTCTATGGAAATATGATAGCTGAGTCCTTAAACAATCCAAGATCAGAAATCTGATGAACAGGCTTATACAAACTGAGCTGTCTAGCGGGAAATTGAAATTGTACTCAGGGGTGTTTGAAATTGTCTTACATCTGTGGCATGCTCAGACAAAGGGCAGATCCCTTGATCACAGTCATTCACTTCATCAACAGCATGTAGCCTGAGCTAGATGTCTGAGTCTCTATCTTTCAACACAACACTGGAATATCTACCAGAAGTATTCTCTTTATTTTCCAAAACCATATTGAGGGTGTTTCCCAATCCTCTGGACATGTTATCTATATTTCTGTCGACCTCTTGATTAAAAAAACAAAAACCCAAAATGCTTAAATTAAGTCAATATTGAGGAAAGAATGAGATAAAACTATCTTTCATTCTCTTTTGCTGAATTTAGAATTACAATTATGGTATGAATCTTAGGCAACATGAAGAAACTTTATTTTCCACATAAGACTCAGGCCCCATCTACACTGCCATATAATCCACTTTGTGAATGCAGATTAACTGTATTGAACTGGATTATATGGTAGCGTAGACTCAAATAATCCAATTCAAAGTAATTAATCTATATTCTAAAACTGGATTATACGGCAGTGTAGATCTAGCCTCCTATACAAAAGTGCATGTTGAAACTAACAATACACTGTAGAAATTAAATTTAACTTTATTATCAGGTCATGTAATAATAAGCTCCAGCTTCTGCCAACCTAGCAGTTCAAAAACATGCAAATATGAGTAGATAAATAGTACCGCTCTGGTAGAAAGGTAACAGTGCTCCATGCAGTCATGCCGGCAACATGACCTAGGAGGCATCTATGGAAAACGCCGGCTCTCTTACTTAAAAATTGAGAAAAGCATCACCCCTCAGAGTCGGACTCAACTAGATTTAACGTCAAGGGGAAACCTGTACCTTACACTTGTAAACAAATATGCTGCTAAAATTCTGCTCAATTTTGAGTCAAAGGGTTTTAAAATATAGAGTTTTAGATTGTGAAGATGCTTCACAAAAATAGTATTGTAATATCTGTTTTACTTCCAAAAGTAATCTGTAAGAAGCTGTGGTTGCTATGTTGCTATGTTGAAGCTTTCATGTTCAAAACCTTATTCTAATGTTTATATTTCTATCCTTGTCTGCATTTTCGCATAAAACCACATAGTTTGTTAACAGAGCTACAGCTTTTTATATATAAATTTTGAAAAAAAAGTTATTATTTGGTACACAGCAAAGACAGGGAACTGTACAGAGTGATCACAGAATAATTTTTACTAAACACAGTTTATTAAACTACATTGCAATTTGCGCATATGTTTGACAATCTTTATTCATGCAGGCTGCCTAGTTTATTATTTTGCTATTACTTTACTTCGTTGGCCATGCGTTCTGATGTCTTGAAGTTTATACATAAACAAATAATATCCGTAAGTTATGTATTAAAGCTCCAAAGGCTCAAATCTAAAGCTTACATTTCCCCATTCTACAGAAGTCAATTTAAATACACCCGCTTCCCTTCAGCAGCTAAAATTCCACAAAGGAATAAGCTACAGTGAACTCAATTTACTTCTTAATAGACATGCATGGGATTGCACTGTAAATCCTTGGTCAATACTAAGTAGAGTTTCTACCAAATTTCACTGAGACAAAAATGTCAAGGTGTGTGAGAAGGTCACTGCTCTGGCAAAGCATCCATGGAGTATAGAGATAAGTAGAAGGGTTTTCGAGAAGAATAGCATGGATTTTTTTCAGGTGTAGGCACTGTGGAATCAATACTCCTGATTTTTTAAATGATATGAAGACAACATTGCTTGGCACAAATATTTTAGCTAAAAAGAGTGTGACAGAAAGCAAAAAAAGAATAATCATTGGAGCCCAGCGGTTCTTTCACATAACATAATTACAGCACTAAAATTCTACTTTAAATGCCACACTTAAATCCGATGGAGCCCTGGGATTCACAGTTTGGAGAGTGGTGTTTAGACTTCTCAGTCACATGCAGTAGTGCCTAACCAAACTACAGCACCTAAGATGGAATCATGGCACCCTAAGGGCAGTCCTATACAGGCTACATAATGGAAATCGAAGCCAGCTTGAGGATAGGGTGTCCACAAAATGCATCTATGGCAGGCATCCTCAGAGGCCACCTTGATTAGAATTAAAAGGACATTAAATGCTTATCAAGGTGGTCAACTGAAACATTCACACCTACAGACAAGAGTCCTTTCTCCCACCCTGGATATTCCACAGATATATAAACCCAACTTTCATGATTTTCAACAGACCTCACAACCTCGGAGGATCCCTGCCATAGATGTAAGTTAAATGTCAGGAGATAATGCTTCTAAAACATGGCCATACAGCCTGGAAAACTCACAACAACTCGATGAACTAATGGTTTACGAAACACATATAGAGTTCTTTCTAATAAATATCCGTGCCTGTACTTTTCAAATGCAAAGTAAAATTTACAAAGGAGGCAATGAAATATCATACTGGAAAGCAGGAAAAAATGATTTCAGGTTGTGTTTTAAAAGACAGCAGATCTTAAACATCTCAGTCTCCTTAGTGGATTTAAAGCTTTCACAATGAACCTAGACAGCCCACCCATCTACTGGGAGAGGAAATCATCAACGACAATTGATACAGCAAATAGAAAGGGAAATAAATCTGGGAATTATGTTTCAATACATGCAACATCTATCATACTTCTACAATGAAAATTCTTGCAGACAAATCTCACAGGTAACTATATTCTCTATTTCCAGCATAATTCTAAAACTTTTACTTATTTTCAATTCCTGCTCAGACTTTTTATTCCTCACAGAATATGCAATGGTTGCAGCCTATCTCTTAAAAATGAAATGCTAACCTTTCAGAAACATATGTGATCATCCTCTGTTGGGATAGCCTCCACTTAACATGTTTTGTTTCCTCTCTAGGCGGTATAAGTAACAGATTCACTACTATGCTGAAATTGTTGTAAAGATCTGTGCTTAACCTTCCAATGGTACAAGCTGACTTCAGATTTTCATGTTTTGACTTGGAAAATGACACTGAGAAAAGATGATTGAGGCACAGTAACAGGAAAATGTGTCATGAAATTCAAGTGTTTAAGGAGGACAATTTTTGACAGTTTTTATTATTCCCCACCCCCTAAAAATCATAAAATAGATGATTGAATGCAATTTTCAATGCAATTGTTTTCCTTCTTGAGTTGGCAAGGAGAGATTTTTAGCAAGGAATTTTAAGAGCAGCTTTGCTTTTTGCATTTTCTTGACATCAGCTGTAGAGCCATGCCAAATCTATACATCCCACTCCCTTCCCAAATGATAATGGAACAACTATTTGCAATGCATTACAAATACTATATGAAATATAAATGGTAATCACTTGCCTCCAGAGTAACTTTTTCTTTTAAACAAAGGAAAATAAATCCAATACAATATTGTAGATGTTGTTATTCTTGTCCAATTACTGGGAAAACAGAAGAAATGTACAACATCCGAGATGTTCATAGAATCACATTAAGTCATGTCAGTCCAAATGTGAGATAACACATTCCGCAATCAAATAGCAAAAAGAAGTTGGTTTTTCAAAGTGAGAGTTCATGGGAGCTTTCTTACCTCTTGACTGCAAACCATGACCACATGCTTCATTGAGACCCAAGGCACCTTGTCGTACAGAATCTGGCACCAGCACACATTGACTCCACTTGTGGACCTTCCAGCTGGAATTTCAAAAAAGTAAAAAATATAGCAATAAATTCTGCTTGTTTGCAAATAATTAATTAAACTGAGTTAAAGTGTGATGCAAATGTAAGCCTACATTTCTCATTTGCAATAAATGACAACACAATTAATACTAGCAGAGGGAAGGCTTAATGATTTTGTAGTCATGGGCACAGTGGTTCGAGCACTACAATACTAGAGATGAGGGTTCAATTTTCTACTCAGACATGGAAATAATGGCCAAGTCACACACACTCCTGTGACATGTCCACACTGGGATTGTCAGAAATGACAAAAGTCATGGAATACATTGTTGTTATGGCCTTGAACATTTCAGCATGTTGAACTCCACAGATTCTGCTGTTTTTATGTTGGAAAGTATTTCAGAAAAAAGGACAAACACATTGCTTATTGGATCCTTAACAAGAGGAAATTCATCAGCCTTGAACCGAACTGGTTCTTTCGAATGATTGAAATTTTAGATCAATGAAGTCAACAAAGACTCGAATCTGTCTGTAGTCTTCACTGCAGTCTTTCTCATTAGCTGGCAAATTCCCCTAATCAAGAAAAGGGAAGCTGTACTCAGAACTAGGAATTTCATCTTCTCACTTATGGCAAACGTATCACAGGGGTTTTCTGAAGCTGAGAATGTGACTCATCCAAGATCACCCATGAATTCCCATACCTAAGCAAAGAATCAAGAGTCTTGGTCCAATGCTCAAACATTCTATGGTGGTTTAATTGGTTTTTAACTTTTGATGTTGTATATGTTTATTTAAACTGTTGTAAACCTTGAGTCCCAAACAGAGAAAATTGTGAGACTGACAGCAGCTGCAGCAACAACAAGTTTATAAGAGACTTTTTTTAGCAATACCTGTACACAGGACAAAGACGGATGTCTTCACATTCTCTTTCTTCATACAAGGTGTCTGGACATTCTTGCCCTCCGTTAGCAGCTTCTTGTATTATAATCCTATAGCGGGACTGCTTTGTTGTAGCATCATTACCTGGGAGATTTTTTAAAAGTATAATAAAACTTTCCGACAAAGCATAGTTGATTTCATGCTTTAGTGATCTTGTCTTGCATTTAATGTAACGTTCAATCTTGGGTTTACACTGAATCTAGTCAAACACATCACAATCTTTCAATTAGTTAGAGTCTGATAAATGTTAGCAACACTGTAAGCAGGTCTGCAAAAAGAAGGAAAAATAGAACTCTTCTTAGAGAAGGCAGGCAGCATCTGGCTACTTTAATATGCAATAAATGAATGAAAGATATAGGTAAGTAGTTGAAACATCTGCAACAAAAGTTTGGTCTTCCTTGGAGGCAAACAGTGATGAACTCACATAGCCACTCCTCATGCATACTTGATGTTAATGCACTAAGCCTAACCCTTCTATGCATGATATTTTCATATATAACTTGTGAATTCTCCAAGTACTGACCTAACACGTTAAGATACAATTGTCTAAATCAGAACATACCCTTAATAATAATAATAATAATAATAATAATAATAATAATAATAATAATGGTCTATGAATTACTGATAGTATGGCCACGGTCTATATATTTCTATCCTATTTACATGAAGAAACCTACAAATTTCCCTTCAAAATCAGTGTCTTGTTAAACAGAACTTTGAAAATATAGTTGACCATTTTAGTAAATGCCAAGTTAAAGATAAGGATTTTTCTTTCATTTTTCTTGATAAAATATTTCAGTAGTGTACATTTATTTACCATAGTTTCCCGAAGTTACAATAGTTACATGTGGTTTTCTTATTAATTAGTGTAACTTTGGGAAACTATGGTAAATAGATTTACACTATTGAAATATCTTCAGTCCTTGGCTTTATACCTTGTCATTTTGATAATAATTACATGTTATTTTGTTATTAAATGGAGGCCCAGTGGTGCAGTGGGTTGAACTGCTGAGCTGCTGAACTTGCTGACCAAACGGTTGGCGGTTTGAATCCAGGGAGCGGGGTGAGCTCCTGCTGTTAGCCCCAGCTTCTGCCAACCTAGCAGATCAAAAACCTGCAAATGTGAATAGATCAATATGTATCTCTCCAACGGGAAGGTAACGGCACTCCATACTGTCATGATGGCAACGTGACCTTGGAGGCATCTAAGGACAATACCAGCTCTTCGGCTTAGAAATGGAGATGGGCACCAACCCCCAGAGGAAAATGGTTACCTTTAGCTTTGTTATTTAATTCAATTATTAGTTTCCTCTTTATTTATTTTTGACTGTAGTAAGTACAAAGAAAATGGTAATGTTTCAAATCGATCTTATTTCTAATCTGCTTAATCCAAACCAATATTATCAAATATTTGTGCCATATCATGCTAAGACTATAGATTTATACAGCTTAGTTTTCTTCCTTAACATGCTAGGGCTTTTTTCCAAATTGAGTAAATATTTAAGCATTCTTCACTATATTTCAAAAATAGTTTTTATGGCCAATTACAATGCATAAATAAGAAAAATATAGAAACAACATGTAGTCTACCCTATTTTCTCCATTCATGGTATTTAATACATTTGGTGAGAAGCAGGATGCCATTTGAGTTGCTGTTTCCAACCCCGTCTTTTCCGATGGTCCCTGACCACAGGTCGAAGTCTCGCCTGACTCTTGCATTGAAGTCCCCCAGGAGGATGATTTTGTCCTCCTTAGGTATCCCCGATAGGACGGTATCCAGCTGACAGTAGAATTTCTCCTTGATGTCTTCGTCAGCATCTAGTGTTGGTGCATAGGTCTTTTTGGCAAGATCGATTCGGAGGGTTGAGAGTCGTTCGTTGATGCCAGTGGGTGCTTCGGACAGATGTTTC